GAAAGGCTTTCCTGACCCCATGAAAAGATTCAGACATGGACAGTTCTGGTTAAATCCAGCATGGTTCTTGAATTCAGAAAGTGATACAGTCCTGTTGCAACATGTACAAACCACTCCATCTTTAGTTACCAGGCCTGTTTTTACCACAGTATCATCATCTGGATCTCGTAACTGGATTACTTCGTCCCTAGAAATTACTTTGGTAGCTATCAACCATGATAAGACAGTTCTTGGACCCAAAATAGACCAATTTCCTTGACAAAATTGATTTTCCACATTGCTTGTGCTTCGGGGAAGCAGCCTGCACCCTCCTTTATTGTTTCTCTTTTTTGTTCTAGCCTTTGGTTTCTGGGTTTTCTTTTTCTGGCTTGATCTGCTACCCCTCCCTTGGTTTCTGATTGTTTTCGACACCATAAGGTCATCATCTTGAGTATAGTGCTTCCTAGCTTTCTTTCTTCCTTTCTTTGCATTGCAACATGAATTCTTCATCTTCTCATTTCTCAACCTTTCATCCCGACTTGCCTTTGAGATGAGGTGACTGTTGCCCATCTCTTTATCCTGGCATTCAAGGCTATCGAGAGAATTAGAATCTAGTGAATCATGTTGGTCCAAGGGAGCTGGTTTGATATCAGATATTTTTTTTGATCTTCTGTGTAAGTTCTTTCTCATAACACTTTCATGCATGTCCTCTGCTATCAACTTTGAAGCTACAACGCCCTTGCTAGCCTCCTGCTCATGAGTCCCAGAGATTTCCTTACCAATTATGTTCTGCCTCTCTAGTCTTGAAGAAACTTTTCGAGGGAAAATTTTAGTTTGCACCTCAATATCTGAATGAATCTCTTGGTTAGCATCCACGTCATAAACAAGGTGACTGCCTTCAGATACTGTCAGCACACTTTCAGGACAGCCTGAAATCATGTTCAAACTAATCGCATCTTTTTTCTTCAACTTGTCAAGAACTGAATTCCTTGCAACTTCAACTTTATTTCCTTTTCTCAAAGAACCAACTTGCTTAGAAATGAAGACAGCAACCACAAAAGGCTCTAAGGCACTCCACCAAAGTGCCCGTGTGTTAGCAAGATTTAAATTTTTCAAGTTCTCCTCGATGTCCAGCAGAGTAAGAGAGAGATCGGACCAGAAGTCATTGATACCGGTCCATTTCTTAGTACCAGTATCCATTAACTTATGATCAGCTAATAGGATAGCACCCAATGATTTCCAAGCTGACCCAAATTCACGAAATTTCCGTCCCTCTGGCGATATGTAAAATGTTTCTATGTGTTTCCTACCTGCTGATCTTTTGCGCTTCTCGATTTTCCATCTGGCAGCAGTAAGCAACTTACAGACATATTTGTAGAGAAGAGGACGGGGGTCCTCTTTAGGATCAATCTTTAGACAGGTTTTAGACATAATTAACTCATCAGGAGTGAAGCAAGCCTTCTCACTATGAGGCGTAGAAGCACCTGCACAGACCATTCTGGTTGCGAAGCTCTCCTGAGAAACAGGAGAAGCAATAGCTTTAAACTCCTTCCAATCGCATTTGTCCAAGTTTTGTGACTTAAACTTTCCGGAGACAATGCCACCCAGATAAACTTCTCTTCCCTTTTCTATGCTTTGCTTTAGCAAATATGAGCTAGTTGAAACACCCTTGTTAGATGATTCAACTAAATGTAGAGGGATTATTCGACAAGCTATATCCGAATAACCATTGAAAGCCGATCCCTTTTCGTCCCTTGCATCCAAATGCTTATTACCTGAAAGCTTCACTCTCTTAGCTTTTGTGTTAACCTCTGAACCATCTTTTGAAGCAGATGCCTCAGAACCTTGTAGACATGCATATCCACTTGTCACCACAGAGTTGGAACTCAGAGAGGAATTAACATTCTTACTGGAATCACATTTGAAGTTAATGACTCCAGTAACGAGACATCGTTTAGTAGTATTTCCAGGATCACTTCCAAAGAAGACTTGTCTAAATATCTGATGATCCTCATAAGTCCCCTCAAAGGAGTCACCTCCTGACATCTCAAACTCAGCTCCGCGAAGCATCTTCACAAACTAACTGCATATTTTCACCTTAAACTCAAAGGAAGGTTGTAGATACCTGCAATTATAAAAAGTAAATGAATAACAAAATCATTTTATAGATAGATGTACTAAAACTGTCATCAGTGTCTCAATCAAACATAAAAATGAGCAGAAATTTCATATGAAAACACAAACCCAGAAGCACAACATGGATTCAAACAAGCTAAACTCAGAGATCCTAAAAAAAAGGCCAAAACTTTGAAGCCTAGGGAACAACAACCCAGATTTCATGAAATTGAGATGTTATATTGAGTAATTACATACAAAAGAAAGCTGAAGAAATGCGTGAAATTACCAGCATGCAGAATGAATCAGAGCAGCAAAATTCGTGAAATCGGAGTTCAAAGAGTGCGAAATCTCACTGAAATTTGCCAAATTTCTTCGCCCTTATCCTCTGCCAACCGCAAGTGGGAAACGCATTTTCATTCCATTTCACGTTCTCTGCACTCACACACACTCTCTCTCCTTGATCTCTCTATCTCACACACAGAAAAGAACAACAATTTGTTTCTCTTTTATTTAGCTTTTTCTTCAATAATTGTGGAAGAAGAAACCCACCTCTGATTCGATGTTAAATCTCAACCAAAATTCATCAGATAAATTTTGGCGAATTTTTTCACCTCTCTGAATCTGCCTGCCTCTATCACTTTGTGCAGTGTGTGTATTCTTATTATTGGCTATTTCTCTCTCTCTCTCGTTTATTTTTCCCTATTTTCTTTTTATTTCCTATAATTTGTGTGTGCTGTCAAAAAAGCATCTTCATACTCCCTCCGTTTTCGAATAGTTGTCGTTTTATAGTTTTTTTGTTTTAAATTAGTTGTCGTTTTAAGGTAATAATGTAATTTATGTCAATAACTACCCAAATTACCCTCATTTTATTGAACACAAATTATTTGTAAATAATTACTTGTCATTTTTATGAGGTTAATATAGTCATTGTATATCTTTTCTTAATTTGTCCAAGTTAAAACGACAACTTAAAAAAACAAAGGAAGTATGTTTTTATTTTTATTTTCCTTTCATTATACGGAAAAAGTCATTCTTCATTTTTCACCTTAAGATTCTGATGACAACGGACCAGCAGTTATACATATACACTACTTAATTCGATTTATTACAAAAATTAAAACCTAATTTTCTTCGTTTTTTCTTCAGTTATCAAATTCGTAATCCTGTTAATTAATTACGACCATATAAGCCAATTTTATGCTTTGAGTTGGCCATTTAATTAACAGACAAAATTGTTCTGACAAAAAAAATAACAGACAAATTAAAAAGAAAAAATTTGGCATATTTAATTGCCAGATTTTTAACGGTTTTTGTTGTTGTCGTTTTAAATCATCTCAGCTTATGTTTTTTCCTTTAAAAATCAGTCATCACCCATCACCGATGGTAACAGGTTTTGTCTTAAAATTTTTGTTTGTATTTATATAAGTTAAACCTATTTTAACCCAAAATATATATATAATCAATATCTGTTTAGTGGATTGGATGCTTTGTAGTTTGCGCGGGGAATCTGTACGTGTCTTAACGATAACATATATCACACAGGTGCATGCGATGGTGGACGACCAGCTTTGATGAACATAATACGTAATTTAACTTATCTTATTATGTGAACAGATTAGATATTACATGTTTTGTATTAACTAGCAATAAGGCTCCGAAGCTCTAGATATATTTGTTTCTTGATTCGATTTTGACATACGAGAATGAGGGAATTCCAAAAAGTACATGTACGATGAAAACGACTTTGGTAGATGAAATGATTTGTTTTTTTTAATAAACGGAATAAATTCTAGATACTTTTGTCTTTTTAAGATTTAACAACGGGTTTTTATAAAGACTTAACTATATATGGTTTAAAAAAACATTTTTCTTTTCTTTTTTGTAGATGGTAGAACTCTTTAGCTAGCTTTGATCCACATAACGAATAGTGAAGTTTGGCACAAATATTTATCAATGTTATCATATATCTAAAACGTTGAGTTTTTTAGCACAAATATTTATTGGAATTAGAAATTAGAATAGAGCATAACAAAAATCATCACTTTTTATACATTCTGGCAGTAAAACTGCATATCTTGGAATTGTCAATTTGTCACACACATTCTTGATACAATACAAACTCATAAACTTTATCTACATGTACCACCAAGGACATCACCAAGGTGGTATGATGATTTTGGGATTTTTGAGAATGTCAACTCTTATTATCGATACAATAAGCGGTATGATTATTTCTTTCACCGAAAATGGAGCGTAAATGAGCACTTGACATACATCATACTCATATCCTATATGTGTTGCTTGGGTTGTCTATGCGAGGACCATTGCTTTCAACTTTAAGTGAAACTGAAAAACTGCGTGTTTTGGTTTCTCAGCCCAAACAAAATCGTCGACTCTCCATCTGAACAACCTCTTATTTTACAATATAGATACTTTGGTTAAGTTTAGTAACAAATTGCGCGTTAGTAGCTATTTTAGTATTTAAAGGGTAAGAGTTGATACTTTTTGACCATATAAAGCCATAAATCATTGGAACACTAGAGAACAAAACATCTCCCGGTTCAAAAGTTCGTCCGGTTTACTCTACTACAATTCAAATATCAAAACGACAACACGTGCTTCCACAGAATTAAGAACCGGGACGTGATCTCGTTGATCAAATCCTTTTTCCTCGCCAACTTCAGGCCGTCTTAGTTTACCGAAACCGAAGTGGCTTTTTATGATTTTATCCGATACAATGACGTGGAAAGATTAAAGAGAATCTTTCGCCACGTTCCACCAATGAATGCTTGACACGTATCCATCGAGTTTCTTTTCCTCAATGCTTACGTCATCGCACACGTCTATCTTTTTGGGTCAAAAGTGATAAAAAGGAGAGTCGTAGATGGCATAGTCACTTGAGTCTTTCCCACTATTTTAACCCCATTAGTGACACTCCTTTCTTCTCCACTACACTCCATTTCTCTTTCTTCTTGATTCTACTATCTTTCTCTCTAATCTCCGCAACTATGGCTTCATCTACGAAGACGGTGTGTGGGGTTTCACGATCACGAGATCATACTTTTTTCCCTCCTCGTACGTAACGATTTTTTTGTGATCTTTGTAATAATTAATCAGAGGTTTTTTGGCCTTTTATTAGGTTTTGATCCCTATTGCACACGGTACGGAGCCTTTAGAAGCGGTGGCGATGATCACCGTGTTGCGTCGAGGTGGTGCTGACGTGACGGTGGCTTCCGTCGAGACTCAGGTTGGCGTTGATGCTTGTCATGGCATCAAGATGGTCGCTGATACTCTTCTCTCTGATATTACCGACTCTGTTTTCGACCTTATTGTGCTCCCCGTAAGTCCCTCTGCTGATTTAACAGTCTCCATTTGTTTTGTTTCTTTGTTTCTAATCTAAGAATTAAGGACAACCAAGAAGCGGATCGATCAATTATCAGTTAGCTCAATTAACTTAGTTTCAAAAGTGATGTTGATAGTTAATGCAAAAAACGTTGGTTTTTAGATGTATGTGTTGTAACTTTTGTTCTCTGAAACAACTTCATAGATTCTTGTTTCTTAAAGATTTCATAATTGTGTTACTGATATACTTTTTGATTATGTGATTGGTAAAAGGGAGGGCTTCCCGGTGGCGAGACTCTTAAAAACTGTAAACCTTTAGAGAACATGGTTAAGAAACAAGACTCTGATGGACGACTTAACGCAGCTATCTGTTGTGCTCCTGCGTTGGCTCTTGGTACTTGGGGTCTACTAGAAGGCAAAAAAGTAAGTCAGAAGTGATCTGTTCTTGTTTATTTATCTTCTTTTCAGTTCTTATCTAATGCTGGTTATTACATGGGGTTTCTTGCAGGCAACGGGTTACCCTGTTTTTATGGAGAAACTTGCAGCTACTTGTGCCACTGCTGTTGAGTCAAGAGTGCAAATAGATGGAAGAATAGTGACTAGTCGTGGACCAGGAACCACCATTGAATTCTCCGTCACGCTTATAGAGCAGTTGTTTGGGAAAGAGAAAGCTGATGAAGTCTCTAGTATCTTGGTATGTTTTTGTCTCTTGCCTCTTTTATCAACAGCTGTTGTACGTGTTAATGTCACATCCTCTTAGACTTACTAGTTCTCCTTTTGCAATCAGCTGCTTCGTCCCAACCCTGGTGAGGAGTTTACTTTTACTGAGCTTAACCAAACGACCTGGTCATTCGAAGATACACCACAGGTAAATGTTCAATGGCCTCTCCACTTGGTCCTTTAACATTTTGCCAAGACAGTCTTTGTTTGATCATTATACAGATTCCTAGGAACATGCTGTGTTGTAAAGCTTTTGTCTTTCTTGATCAATAGTCGTTCATGTGTCAGAAAGATAATGCTTTCCCTTTTCAGATTCTCGTACCCATTGCAGAGGAGTCAGAGGAAATTGAAGCCATTGCGCTTGTAGATATCCTGAGACGGGCAAAAGCAAACGTAGTGATTGCTGCAGTTGGTAACAGTTTGGAAGTTGTAGGATCTCGCAAAGCTAAGCTAGTAGCAGAAGTGCTTCTTGATGAAGTTGCAGAGAAGTCGTTCGATCTGATTGTGTTACCTGTGAGTAGTGCTAACTTTCAAAAGATGAACACTAATAAGTCTAAAAGTAAGTTTTGACAGTCTTTGATGAAAAATAACCAAAAACATAATCCAACTTCTTTGATGAACTACAGGGCGGTCTTAACGGTGCTCCAAGATTCGCTAGCTGCGAGAAACTGGTGAACATGTTAAAGAAACAGGCAGAAGCAAACAAACCATATGGAGGAATCTGCGCATCGCCTGCGTACGTCTTCGAGCCTAATGGTTTACTGAAGGTGCATAAATCAAATCATTACTAGAATTCTAGTTTCTTGTTATAGCTTAAGTCATTGAACTGAGATATAAGAGACATGTTTTGTATAGGGTAAGAAGGCTACTACTCACCCAGTAGTGAGCGACAAACTTTCGGATAAGAGTCACATTGAGCATAGAGTCGTGGTAGATGGAAATGTCATAACAAGCAGAGCTCCAGGGACTGCAATGGAGTTTTCACTTGCGATTGTCGAAAAGTTTTACGGGCGAGAGAAAGCACTTCAGCTCGCAAAGGCCACACTTGTGTGATTTCCGAACAATGAAGTATGAGAGTGACTTGAATAAAAGAAGGCTTTGCCTTTTAGTTATCTCTCCATTGGTTATGAGCTACTTTGTGATATAACATATGAGCATTTGGGTGAGTGGTTGGTGTGTAACTTTATGCCTTTATAAATGAATACATATGAGCCTTTGGGTGAGTGGTTGGTGTTAGTTATCTCTCCATTGGTTATGGCTACTTTGTGATATAAGTCATATAACATATGAGCATTTGGGTAAGTGGTTGGTGTGCAACTTTATGCCGATTTTATAAACGAGATTTTTCTATGTATGTGGCCGATATTTTCTTTAACCCTCTGCAAGAGTAAGAGGGTTTGCTTGAGGAAGATATTTTATTTTATGGAGAAATATTAGTCACACTTTTCACCAAATATAAGGTAAATACTAATTTGCCCCCATGTTTAGCTTTGGCGTAATATTTGTAACCATTTGATAACATCATTATACCAAATCAGTGAAATAAAATCTTCACTCTTCTTTTCTTAAACAGAAATAATTTTTCTACCATTTGAAAACAGAGTAATGTCACTAATTTCTTAGCAAAATGTGTTTATTTGTAACTTACGGTAAAAATGGGGCAATTTAATTGCATCTGATAAGACCAAGGGGTATCACCGTAGATTTCGCTGTTGTTCGTTCGGTTACGAAATACCGAAAATGCCCTCGATCATAAACTACTATTAAACCCTCACAAAACCCTTGATTTGATTTCTAGCTTATCTGTTTTACACACTCTCGGCTAGGGTTTTGTCTGCGAAACCCAATCTAGAGCTTCCATGGCGACGCATACCATTTCTCGCTCCATTCTTTGCCGACCGGCGAAATCTCTTTCCCTTCTGTTCACGCGATCTTTTGCTTCATCTGCTCCTCTCGTCAAAATTCCGGCGTCTTCTCTTTACACGTCGTCTCTGCTCAGCCGTTCCCGTCCTCTCGTCGCCGCTTTTTCCTCCGTTTTCCGTGGCGGCCTTGTGTCTGTTAAAGGTCTCTCAACGCAGGCTACGTCGTCTTCTCTGAACGATCCGAACCCCAACTGGTCGAACAGGCCACCTAAGGAGACGATCCTGCTCGATGGATGCGATTTCGAGCACTGGCTTGTCGTCGTGAATCCACCGGAGGGTGATCCTACTAGAGACGATATCATTGATAGTTACATCAAAACCCTAGCTCAGATTGTTGGCAGGTAAATCCCCAATTCAAAAGTATCTTTTGTGGATGTTCTTCTAGGGATTTTAGGGTTTAATATGTGAGAAATCCACTACTGTGTATGGCGGATCTGTGTGTTTACTTAGATCATTTTGGAGGTTTAATTTGATATATCTCGTTTTGAACATTTTCAGTGAAGACGAAGCTAGGATGAAGATCTACTCGGTTTCAACTAGGTGCTACTATGCTTTTGGAGCCCTTGTGTCAGAAGATCTTTCTCACAAGTTAAAAGGTAACTCTTGCCTTGTTGGGTTTTAGTTTTCCCCGTTTCTGTGTTAACATCTGCCTTCTAATTTTCTTCTGTAACTCTCTAGAGTTGCCAAATGTGCGCTGGGTTCTTCCTGACTCTTACCTGGATGTGAGGAACAAAGACTACGGAGGTAAGGCTTTGTGTGCTATTTGTATCACAAACCGAGAATTAGTGGAGTTGCTTTGATCTTTCATCATACTTGCTGGTTTTGAATTTGAATTGTTGATAAGGAGAACTATCTGTTGTTAGTTTTTACTATGTGGTTTTTTTACTTGCTCCAGGGCCGAATTCTATTTATATAGTTAATTAACATTTCTAAAAATAGATTTGGGTGCATATGTTAGATTTGATTAGTGATAGCTATTTTGAGACTGGTGTTGTAGAAGTCGCAGTGATGTTGCTTTGGTGAGAGTTTAAATCTTTATGGTGATCCTATTAGAGAGTTAGTTTGATGCGTTTCTTTTTTATATTGACTTTCAGGGGAACCTTTCATCGATGGCAAGGCTGTTCCTTATGATCCCAAGTACCACGAGGAGTGGATAAGGAACAATGCTAGAGCAAATGAAAGAAACAGACGCAATGATCGTCCTCGCAACTTTGATAGAACCAGAAACTTTGAGAGGAGAAGAGAGAACATGGCAGGAGGCCCTCCTCCTCAACGTCCTCCAATGGGAGGTCCTCCTCCTCCTCCGCACATGGGTGGCTCTGCACCTCCTCCGCCTCACATGGGTGGCTCTGCACCTCCTCCACCTCACATGGGGCAGAACTACGGTGGACCACCACCACCAAACAACATGGGAGGACAAAGGCCGCCACCCAACTATGGAGGACCACCGCAAAACAACATGGGAGGACAGAGGCCACCACCAAACTACGGAGGAGCACCACCTCCGAACTACGGAGGAGCCCCACCAGCAAACAACATGGGAGGAGGACCACCACCTAACTATGGAGGAGGACCACCACCTAACTATGGAGGAGTACCACCACCAAACTATGGAGCAGCACCGCCACCTAACTACGGAGGAGCACCCCCACAGAACAACAACTACCAGCAGCAGAGTGGTGGAATGCAGCAGCCACAGTACCAGAACAACTACCCACCTAACCGGGATGGCAGCGGTAACCCCTATCAGGGTTAAAGTAGTTAAAGCAGTCGTGGGTTTCCTTTTCAATCATGCATTCTGGGCTGTGTATAGATAATTTGAGGAAGAGAGAGTGCAATAGCAAGACTTAAAAACTCCTTTTTATCTCGAGTGTTTATCAGTCTGGTATTATGTGAGAGAGAGAATAGCCCAAGTAACTCTGGCATGGTTAGAACTTTTTACGCTTGCGTTTCGTTTTATTAGTTTATATCCTAAATCGATCTCAAGTTCTTCCTTGTGATGTTTCGCACAGGCCATTGTTTTGTGTCTTTGTTTGGCAACTTCTGATTCCCCCAATCATGTTTACAACTCAAATATAATAACAGGAATTTTTCTCAATGTCAGCTTATTGCTTTCGACAAACTTGACAGATCTTGTTCGCGAAACAATTTGATGCTTACAAAACACATCACACCCAAAACATTTTTGGTAACAAAGATGGGCCTTGTATTATTTATCCTGCCCATCATTCCAAATTTCAGCCCAAATTGAAAAATCTCGTAACCGTAGAAAACGCCTCATATTTATTTTTCTCGCCGTCTAATATTTTCCTTTATTGTTTTATTTATCACTCGTGTCTCTCGAGTCGCTTTCTCTACGGCTGGACTAGGATTAGGGATTTTCCAGTGAAAGGAGAAACTCTAGAGCTAAATCTACAATCATGGATATGATGAAGAAGCGAAAGCTCGATGAGAACGGTGGAGGACTCATTACCAACGGTGGCGGAATCATTGGTCCTACTCGATTGACGCCACAAGACGCGAGGAAGATTATCGAGCGATTCACCACTGATCAGCTGCTCGACTTATTGCAAGAGGCTATCGTACGCCATCCCGACGTGCTTGACTCTGTCCGTTCAACCGCCGACTCTGATATCTCTCAGCGGAAGCTATTCATCCGTGGTCTCGCGGCGGATACTACCACGGAAGGTCTTCTTTCGCTTTTTTCCAATTACGGAGATCTCGAAGAAGCTATTGTGATCCTTGACAAGGTCACTGGGAAATCCAAAGGTTATGGTTTCGTCACTTTTATGCACGTTGATGGAGCTCTACTAGCTTTGAAAGAACCATCTAAGAAAATTGATGGGCGTGTCACAGTAACGCAGCTCGCGGCTTCTGGAAATCAAGGTACGGGCTCCCAGATTGCAGATATATCAATGAGGAAGATCTATGTGGCGAATGTTCCGTTTGATATGCCGGCGGATAGGCTATTGAATCACTTTATGGCTTATGGAGATGTTGAGGAAGGTCCTTTGGGTTTTGATAAGGTTACGGGTAAATCTAGAGGCTTTGCATTGTTTGTCTACAAGACAGCTGAAGGTGCGCAGACTGCTCTTGCTGATCCGGTGAAAGTGATTGATGGAAAACATTTGAATTGTAAGTTGGCTGTTGATGGTAAGAAAGGAGGAGGGAAGCCTGGAATGCCGCAAGCTCAGGATGGTGGTTCTGGTCATGGACACGTTCATGGTGATGTAATGGGAATGGTGCGTCCTGCAGGACCTTATGGTGCAGCTGGTGGCATGAGTGCTTATGGTGGGTACTCGGGAGGACCACCACCGCATCACATGAATTCCACACCCTCTTCAATGGGTGTTGGTACTGGTGGATATGGAAGTGCTGGGTATGGTGGACACTATGGTGGATATGGAGGTCCAGGTGGTACTGGCGGCTACGGTGGACTTGGCAGTGGGTATGGTGGGCCTGGTGGTGGAAGTGGGCCGTATAGAATGCCACCAAGTTCGATGCCTGGTGGTGGTTATCCCGAGAGTGGGCACTATGGTCTTTCATCATCTACTGGATATCCTGGACAGCATCATCAAGCTGTTGGAACCTCCCCTGTGCCAAGAGTTCCGCATGGAGGAATGTACCCAAACGGTCCACCAAACTACTGAAAAGGTGAGGTTTTTCTCCCTTGCATATACATATTGGTGTTAAGAGTGTGTTGCATTACCATGACCATTGCATGTTTATATATTCTTCCCTACATATTGGTGTCAAGAGTGTGTTCCATTATTTGTATATTCTTCCAGTTTTTCTTGCTAGGAATTCTCTGTTGTTCTCTTCCCTGTGTTTCTTTTAGGATATTTGCTTGTTTGTACTGTGTTAGCTACTTTGATGCAATGCCTTGGAGTCTGTATGTTATATGCTTGTGTTCAATCCTTGATTTTAAGTTTTAATGCATGACAGATAGCCAGAAAAGTGGCACCTTGAACCCTTTTATGGGGAATGTTTGGCTAAAGCATAAGCAATTCCTGGCATTGTTTCATGCAGTTTTTCTGTTGGTCTGCATAGGTTGTCAGTTAAATAGATCTAGCTGCTAGTTTGTGCCCCATGCTTTATCTCTCTATCATTTGCTTTTTGTGACGATAATACGCATGTGATCATTGCAACTTGAGTCCTTGTTTTCCTTGTCAGTGTTTAATCATCTGCTGAAGTTAGCATGAGGTTGATTTCTTTGATAATGCTAATGACCAAATTGAGTTGTGAATGGGTGTTGATTCAGGTTTGTGACAGCATATTGGGCGAAGATGCTTTTTTGTGCTTAGTGGTGATTGCCTGATTGCAGCTCTTTAATCTCTGGAATGATGAATGTATAGCTGCTTTGACCTCTCTGCACTTGACCTGAATGTGCTTTGGTTGCTATAATGAATGATTAGAATAGGATATATTTATGTACTTTTAATCATAGAGATACTCGGCAGATGAGTTTTGTTGGTCAGATTAGTGAGTCTTCAATAATATGTTGTATTTTCTCCTACGTTGTTTTCTGGTTAATTGTCCAGCCATTCAATTGGTGACTTGCTGAATTGGTGGTTATATTTCTGAAACCTTGATACAATTATTTGACTTGTTTGTGACTTTTAAACTGGCTCTAGAGGCTTTTTGCTTTGTGATTATTGACTAATGATGCCTAGGTAAAGTGGTGCATATGTTGTGTGACCAGTCACAGCATTGTATTTGTTTTGCAAAGTAAATGACTGGTCTATTCATGTCAAAACCATAAGTTGAATGGCGCTTGATTTGCATAAAAATGTGAAATATGACGGTGGTGTTGAAGTCGTGCTGTTATTTCATGCTAAATTGCGACCCAGTGTGTTTATGCTGGTTTGTATTGTATGACAGAAACTGTGTTCTTGCCGTGAATCAAAGCTTAGTGTGGCTATTCCAAGTGTAGTGAGGATATCTCGAGTTGTTGACTTGCTTAATGTCTGACATTAATTTTTTTGTGAAAATCTCATGGCTTGTGATGTCGAGGTGTGGCTTTTCTGATCACAAGATGCTGAGTGTTTTTTTTTTGGGGGATTTGAAAAATGATTGTGTGCATAGTCTCGGGTAGGTCCTTTATTTGTCACTTGGAAGACAGATTTTGATGCCCTAATAGCTTATTGCTTCTTTCTTGGTCACACACATACGAAAATTTGGGTTTCAGGTGTAAAAAAAGTGTCATTGTTAGAGCTCTCTGTAGCTTCTATAGACTCTTTTCTTACCAATGACTCTACTTGTTTTCTTTTTGCCTTACATTATTGTCCTTTTGCTGAGCGAATCGCCCGTCAATGCTCCTAACTGAAAACGGAGCGGACTGAAGAAATCCAAACAACAGCTGGAGGCGATGTAAGTTGAGGTATCGAAAAGGAATGGAACTGCGACGAAAGCATGTAAATAAGTATTGTTGTTCTCTTTGGCATTTTCACACTCTATTCTGTAACTTACAAAAAAAATCAATCATAATCACGTTTTAATAGCTCTTTCACACACACAAATGAGTTCGGTTATCTTCTATCTGTTGTAAAGAATATGCTATCGTGCTTATTCCGATGATGAAAAGTCAATGAGACTGCGCAATTTTGAAGGAAAAAAAAAGACTACTCCGTATTATTTATTTATCTATTTATTTATTTATTTATTACAATGGCATGTTCAAAACCCGACTAACAACAATGTAGCAAATCATGCCGATTATATATATAGGGATTTAATTAGTTATAAGATTAAACAACAAAAGAAATCTGAAAATTGTAAAGTGGAGCCCTCATCACCACTAACAAAAACATATAAGCTCTTTTCGTTTTCTTTGATTTTTTCTTCCTCTCGCTTTCGATTCTCTCATTTCTGTTCCTCTCCAAATTTTCCCAACCAAAAATGTTCCGATCAATGCTTGTTCGATCCGCTTCCCCAGTGAAGCAGGGTCTTCTCCGCAGAGGATTCGCCTCTGAATCTGTTCCCGATCGCAAAGTCGTCATCCTCGGCGCCGCCGGTGGGATCGGCCAGCCACTTTCTCTCCTCATGAAGCTTAACCCTCTCGTCTCCTCTCTCTCCCTCTATGATATCGCCAACACTCCCGGCGTTGCCGCTGACGTCGGCCACATCAACACCCGATCTCAGGTACCCGATTGCTTCCATTTTTTCATTTTCGTTCTAGATTCGATGATCCTCCTCCTTTTGTGCGATTATCTTGTTTGGAACAGGTTTCTGGATACATGGGTGATGATAATTTGGGGAAAGCTCTAGAGGGAGCTGACCTCGTCATTATTCCAGCTGGTGTCCCGAGGAAGCCTGGCATGACCCGTGATGATCTTTTCAACATTAATGCTGGCATTGTCAAGAACCTTAGCATCGCCATCGCCAAGTACTGCCCTCAAGTAATCAATCATCCTCTCATCTCTCTCTCTTTTTTACTAAACAGAAATGTACACACCAAGAACGTTGTTTTGCCTTTGCTTACCCTTGATCTGTTATATAATAACCAAATGAGTGATCTTTGGAAATGTCTCTTTCTTGAATCAGGCGCTTGTCAACATGATCAGCAACCCTGTCAACTCCACTGTTCCTATTGCAGCTGAGATTTTTAAGAAGGCTGGTACCTACGATGAGAAGAAATTGTTTGGTGTTACCACTCTTGACGTTGTCAGGGCCAAGACTTTCTATGCGGGAAAATCAAATCTCAATGTTGCAGGTTCCTCTTTTTGTCTTTTCCTAGGATCTTTGGCTGAATAATTAGCACTTTGTTACCTATCTGCTTCAAACAAAATATAAATGTTATGTGTTGTTATAGCTTCTGATGTTTAGATTTGAATGCTTGCATTGCATATGCAGAGGTTAATGTTCCAGTTGTTGGTGGGCATGCTGGTATTACGATTCTTCCTCTCTTTTCTCAGGTTGCCTATCGCCTTTACTATTTCTCTTATACTGTGGCTCTTGCTAATCATTTTGGTCTGTTTGTTCTAAAAAGTGTTTTGTTTGATAATATATAGGCTAGCCCTCAAGCCAACTTGTCGGATGATTTAATCAAGGCCCTCACAAAGCGTACCCAGGACGGAGGGACAGAAGTCGTGGAGGCAAAAGCTGGAAAGGGTTCAGCTACATTGTCAATGGCGTAAGTTCAAAATTGTCACTTTTTGTTTCAGCAATGGTTGAAAGATACTGCCATTACGCACTCTCTGATATTGTCACTAATCACAAATTGTTTTGTGCTATCTCGTCTTTCTGGTATTCTTTATTACTTCACAAGAGTCCTTTGGTCAAGTGTTTTGTTTGTTATCTTATGAAATCTGCTTTCTGTGGAAGCTATGCGGGAGCACTCTTTGCGGATGGATGCTTGAAGGGACTCAACGGTGTTCCAGATGTGGTGGAATGCTCATTTGTCCAGTCTACCATCACCGAGCTTCCTTTCTTCGCCTCAAAGGTAAGAGTACCAAAAACTCTTAACCATCGTTAATCAAAATCACCAGATTATATATAGGTCATAATGTTCATTTAACCCCTTGTCTCTTTTTTGTTTGATATGGCAGGTAAGACTTGGGAAGAACGGAGTGGAGGAAGTGCTAGATCTTGGGCCACTCTCAGACTTTGAAAAGGAAGGCTTAGAAGCCCTCAAGGCGGAACTCAAATCCTCTATCGAGAAGGGAATCAAATTTGCCAACCAATGAGGTTTTTTTTGCATATTGAAACTATTGATTTTGGACTAAACTTTTAGGTTTTAATGTTATCTTTCCAATTTTCTGGTAGAGTTGTCTTCTTCCTCAGCGGATTTTCGAAAATCCCTAAAATAAATTCTCCATTTCTGCTTTTGAGGAACCATTGGGGACTGTAATAAAAAAAAAAAAAACAAGCTGTTGTGCTGTGTTGGTTATGATTTTTTTCCTTTTTTTTTTTTTTTTTCAATCAAGCATCATCTATTAATTCACGGAAAACAACTCTCTTGAAAGCCAAGCGGGTACCGTCGAACTTTTATGGGAAAAACATAACCTGCGATCTCTTGCACATTTCGCAAGATGATCAGCGGAAGTGTTATCACTACGAGGTATATGCTTCAAACTAAACGAAGAAAATAAATCCATGTAATACGCAAAATCCAACAATTCTGTAGAAAACGTGGGTCACACCTCCGGGTTAGAGGTCATCTTTAAAAGATCCGAGCAATCCGTCAACATGAGTATACTAGTCAAAGGGATCGCCACTAAGCACTTCATCGTCCACAATAAAGTCTCCAGTTCCGTATGAAAGGGGGAAAGACTTCTATGCAAGCCTTTTAATCCTAAGTGCAGCAATCTTCCTCCACAATAAACAAGCCATCCATATACGCTCATAGTTTCCGCTCCATGTCAGGACCCATCAATATAACAGACCGATCTATCCTCGGGAATTGGTGTCACTTGCAGGCTCTGATCCGTCTCGACCTGGGGATCTTCTTGAAGATTTGCGCGTCTCCATGCTCCTTCTTCTTTAAGTTGCTAGGTCTAAAGTTTTTTGAGGTGCTCTTTTCCTTTTAGAAATGAAATGTGTGCTCTTATTGTATCTTAAAAAAGAATAAATATAAATCGTTGTGAGTTGCATTATTTGGGCAAAGTAATATTTATTCATAAGTTGGAATTTATCTACCTTGCAGTATATAATTAATTTACAGACAGATGAAAGTGTACTTGTTGATGATATTATTGGATCACGAGCCTTTTTGTCTTTATGATTTTTATTTTCTCACTTTGATGAATAAATTGATGTGAAAAGAAGCGTGAGAGTGCGATAGGACATCATGTCCCTTCTCAATGTCTCACCTTTTTTTTACTCTTTTTTTTTTTTAACACACCTTTTTTTAACTTTTCTTCTCTTTTTTGTAAACAAACAAAATTAATGTTGAAATAAAAAAACTTATTAGTAATTTCATACGATTGAATAAAATAATAAACGTTATCTATATATTTGATATTTTTGTTGTTATTTGACCTCATTTTTCTTATTGAAAATGTATTTGTTTAGTTTCTTCAAATCTGTCTTGTGTAAATAACATGGCATCTACTATCTAATAATATGAAGTAATTAATATTGAGTGATAAACACAATAACAACGACGAAAATATGAGTAGTAAATAAAATAGAGACCCTTCGAAAATGACAAATAATATCGAACAAAACAAAATAATTTTGATAGCGAATGGACAGGAGGATGTTTATTACTTATTCATAAGAAAGAAAGAAAAATAAAAAGAAAAAAAAATTTATGTTTTTGAGAATAAAGGAAACATAGAGACAACTGATTTTATAGAAGTGATCGGAATGGTACTATCGATATTAACATACGACAAAAAGCACGAATTTGCCAGTGAAGGGTAAAACCGTGATTTCGTAAGAACCAAAGGGTAGAGTAGCTGAAGTGTTAATGTTAAGTGGAGCCATTTGTCATCTGTCGCCACGTCATCTTCAGAAGTCATGTCCTACGTGCCAATTCGACGATACGTGTCTTTTCTCTCTCTTTTCCAAAATTGGGAAGAAGTTCTTATACTATTATGAACGAATCAAATTGGCCTCATTCTTTCAGTTTTTTGCAATTTGACCCATGATTTACACAAAAAAAAAAATGCGAAATCGAATAATGTAAATACATTTTTTACTTGAGTTTTGACCAAACAATGATAATCGGTCGAATGAAAACAGAGGAAACTATAGAATACATTTTTGAGATGCCCTACTTGAGATGTTTATATTATATACTATGAAGTTTGTTTCATATCTAATCTTTGACAACAAATTATATGAAATTTTGTTTCATATTTATCTTGAACATGATTCCAACTTGTGCATGTTTTTATTTTATATTTCTAACGACTGAATGATGACGGACCAAAAGAAGTCATGAATACCCGGAAAGCATTGTGTTGTGTCTCCCTGTTACTAATTTATTTCCATACTAACTTTAAAATAATCGATCATTTTGATTGATAAATAATATCTTTTTGACATTTAAAAAAGATAATCGTATTTCTTTTCTTTAATTTTATAGTCACAACGTCCTTCTTAATGCTCGAAGAGCAAACTATAGACACCGTACATACATTTCTAGTCTATGAAACACATTCCACCATAGTCACCTTTGCTCCGATTCCATTACGGATCTCCTCTCCACAGTTTTTATCAAAGATCTTTGCTTACACAATAAAGGAGGGAGACGAGGATAATAGTGGTATGTATAGTCAATAGTTCCTACAATATCCTTATTGTCATATACCTAAATTTACACTATTTCCACTGTTATGAGGTGCACAACAATATCAATTGATCTTATACGTCGTTTGGAAAATCCAACCAATACCTAAAGTCTCCGAGAACACACCCAAGATTAGTGTAAAATAACAAAGAAAAGATACATCAAGTGGTCGAATATTTGAAAAGTCTCATTTAAAGTTGAATCCTAAATCTTAGTTTTAACATCAAACTTATTACAAAACTAGTTTTTTATTTTATTTTTTGGGAAACAAAGATGATCCATACTTACTACTTGCCTACTTGGCCATATTGTCAACTACTCTGATGATCAAAATAATTATTTTGATGAGGCGTATATATTGATGTCAAATATCAAACTGACGTTCTTAATCAACGGTATTATTAAATAACTACTATTGGCGTTATTGTGCTTAATTATTGCAGTTCACACAAAATCCCATAATTTAAATTTAAATCTCTCGCAATCATTCTATTTTGTTGTGTTGCAAATCGTGACCGTAATTCCAAGTGGAAGCTACTTTTGATTTACATTTAATTAATATGCAACCGTGGGATGACATATATTCGCCTTTTGCTATACTAAACAACCTATTTCATGTTTGAATATATACTATATGTTTTGTTTGATCAATTATATAATGTGTTCGTATTAGGTTTGTTAATTGACCCTTTTATATAATGCTAATATGTCAGATTCTGATTTATTATTCCTTTAAAGTAGGTGGTCTGATAGTAATTATCTATATGAATAGGTTTAAACTATCAAATATTGCTGTATAATATATAGTTTCCAACTAAAAAATAGTATAATTTAATGTAAATGATATGATCCTTTGCGTCACAAGTTTTTTTATTATTGCTTTGAAGAAAAAACATATTCAACTACTTGAAAATTACGTTAGCTTACCGTACGTGTGTTCAAATTTATAATATGCTACAAAATTGTGTGAACAATATAATATAGGTTTGTTCTATTTATTCGATTTTCACCAATCTGGAGATATTTTGTGGTAACATATATTATAACCACAATATATTCCATACATGAATTAGTTGTGCGAGTTATAGTCAAATTGGTTGGGATTCAAGAAGCATTCTACTATTATAGAGTGATCCCACCAATTATTTTTGAACTTGTGGAATTCTCAAGATCTTAGAAATATCTCCGTTGAAGCTTAGATTGTCTTTTACTCACCTTTATTAGTTTATTTTATACGTCTTATTCTTCAATTTCAAGATACCTTTCCTATATGACTTTGGATCTCATTTTGTTTATTAGTTTATAGAAGAATATAAGACAGGATTGATAAGAACAAAAAAACATCAAAAACGAAAATGTGATAAGAAAAAAAGAAAATCTTAGGATACAGACTAATATAAAGAGCCCTAATTGTATTGCTAACTAATATTATATTCTTCTTTTAACGAGTTCGATTTTTCGAATAAAATCTGCTTTAGTTAACTATTGAGATTCTTACAACAAAAAGGTAAAGAAGTGGAGCATCAATAAGCTTTATGTATTTCCATAGAAGTAGTATGGGTCAACCCTTAAAAGAAACCGAGAAGCACAAAAGGTTGAATTGAACCTTGACCCATCTAACACCATAGGTTTTAGGGTATTTATTCATTTTATTGAATTTTGAAACTCGAAAATAAAGTAGCTTAGTTCCTTCCAGTAATTTCAACTCTTTTTAAGTATATATATACTTTCATTCTAACAAATTTATTATGATATGTGTGATTATGTATGCGGGCATGTCCACGAAAAGAGTGCCCATTTTTCATATCAAAGAAGTAACTCTGACCAAACATAGATGTTTTTTACATTAAATTAGTCTGGTTAACGAATTCCATTAGAACATAATGATTTTTATATTATATTGTAAATGTGTCTTTAGTCAAATGATTAAGTCCATTTGACTCTGCTTTTTCCACCGAAGTTCAATTTCATTAAGTTGCGTTATTCCGCGTAGAAAGAATTGACTATGGATCGGACCTTGTCGATCCTAAGATGTAAAAAAAAAAAAAATTATTTTGGAAAACAAATTTGGTTTTGGAAACATCTAATTCTAAGAACCTATAGGGAGTATTACTCAACAATTAATATTTTTTTGGCACCCTACCATTCAATTTATGTGTATGTTGATTATGTATTTGGTTGTATTTTGAAGTGTTTACATCTACATATTAAACTAAACATAAATTAGATTTTAGAAATTAACATGAACAACATGAAACATGAATACGTACCGTTAAAAAACGTTATGTTATAACAATCAGATCATTTTCTATAAAAAACAAAGAATGAAAAAAATGCATAAATTTGGGAAGCTTTGATTACCCAAAAAAGAAAGGTAAATAAAATAAAATAAAAAGAAGGAAAGAAGAAGTAATAGAATGTGGGGAAGAGATGAGAGAGAGAGATGTTTAATGAGAGGAAAAAACCACTTACTGTCATCTTACCCAGTTGCGTCAAACCCACAAGGAAGGCCACACCAACACTCTCCTCTCTTCCCTTCCCTTCCCTTCTTCTCTCTGCTTATTTTACTTTTCCTTTTACCATCATCTCTCTCTGTCTTTATACATTTTCCCGAGAAAGAAATAAAAAGGAAAGCTTTCTCTGGGTTTTTCTTGATTGGTCAATTACACATCTCCCTTTCTCTCTCTCTCTCTCTCTCTCACCTTGCTTGCTTGCTTGCTTCATCTCTTTGGTCTCCTTCTTGCGTTTTCTATTTACAAACAAGAGAGAGACTTTAAGCAATAGAAAAAAAAAAAGAGAGATATTCTTTCTCTCAGATATGGGTTAGTCTACAATTTTCATTAAACCTCTTCTTCTTCTTCTTAGGATTATTTTAGCTCTGTTTTTTTAGGGTTAGGGTTTTTAGGTGAGGAGAGCAAGTATGCGGGAGTTTCATCCTTTTTGAGCTACTCTGGATTCCTCACCGTCTTACGACGACCACCGTCGCCGCCGCCGCCGTCTCGACGAAGACGCTGACCTTCCTCAATATGCTCGACCAGTGGCTGACGACCAATACCTTCACCCGCCGCCTCCTTCTTCAATGAGGCACCGTGCAACGTCGGAGGCGGCGGACGGCGGCTGCGGCGAGATCGTTGAGGTGCAAGGTGGTCACATTGTTCGGTCTACCGGAAGAAAAGATCGCCACAGCAAGGTCTGCACGGCCAAAGGACCACGTGACCGGCGCGTGAGACTCTCTGCTCACACGGCGATTCAGTTCTACGATGTTCAAGACAGGCTTGGTTTCGACCGACCTAGCAAAGCCGTTGATTGGCTTATCAAAAAGGCTAAGTCTTCCATTGACGAGCTCGCTGAGCTTCCTCCCTGGAATCCCGCCGATGCAATTCGCCTAGCCGCTGCTAACGCTAAACCCAGAAGAACCACCGCCAAAACCCAAATCTCGCTGTCACCCCCGCCGCAACAGCAACAACAACAGCAACAGCTTCATTTCGGTGCTGGATTCGACAGAGGAGGAGCAGAGCATCCGAGTAACGAGTCCAGTTTTCTCCCGCCGTCGATGGATTCAGATTCGATAGCTGACACTATAAAGTCGTTTTTTCCGGTGGTTGGTTCTTCAACGGAGGCTCCTCCAAATCATCAGCTTATGCATAATTATCACCATCATCCGCCGGATTTGCTTTCTCGAACTAATAGCCAAAACCAAGATCTCCGTCTCTCGCTGCAATCGTTCCCGGATGGTCCACCGTCGCTTCTCCACCACAACCACCATCACCACACCTCTGCTTCCGCCTCCGAGCCTGTTCTGTTCTACGGGCAGAGCAATCCGTTAGGGTTTGACACATCGAATTCTGTGAGTTGGGAGCAGCAGTCGTCGGAATTCGGAAGGATTCAGAGACTGGTGGCTTGGAACAGCGGCGGTGGCGGAGCAGCCGATACAGGAAACGGAGGAGGGTTTGTGTTCGCTCCTCCTCCTTCAACGGCGTCGTTTCAGCCAGTTCTTGGCCAAAGCCAACAGCTTTATTCTCAGAGGGGTCCCCTTCAGTCCAGTTACAGTCCCATGATCCGTGCTTGGTTTGATCCTCACCACCATCATCAATCCATCTCCACCGACGATATCAACCACCACCACCACCATCACCTTCCTCCGCCGGTTCACCAATCAGCAATCCCCGGAATTGGATTCGCCTCAGGTGAATTCTCTTCCGGTTTTCGCATACCAGCACGGTTTCAGGGCCAAGAAGAGGAGCAGCACGACGGTCTCACTCACAAGCCGTCCTCTGCTTCCTCTATTTCTCGCCATTGACAATCGAAACTAATCCTCTCAATTCCAGGTTTATCCAAGTTCTGTCCTTTTACATCAAAATTCAATACTTTTGTACTTCTTTGGTCATTGAACTTAAAACCATTTTGCAGGGCTTGTCAAGCTTCCATGCACATTGAAGCTTTGCTCGGAACAGGGGAGGTGTTCTCGGTTTGTGTATTCAATGGCCTAAAACTAGAAAACGCAAGGAAAGGAAGAAAAAGAAGAAGAAGGAACAGCAAATGTAGCTCACAATTTGAGGTTCTTCTTCCAATATCCTAACCTTGCCATTTGTAATTTTTCATCTTTTCACCAGTTAGACCAACGTCCTGGAGCTCAATTATGGTTAGATTCACAAGGTTGCTTCTTGTTGTGTTATGTTTGTAACTTTGTATCATCATCTGCAATACCCAGATACTTGAGTTATAACTCCATGGATGTTCTAATAAAGTCTTAAACTTTCTCTTTGGGTTTTACTTTTACTGCTTTCCTCAGATAGGGAAATGCTCTGTTCAAGCTATATCCTTGTTATTAAACAACATGAGATTCCTATTTCTCACGTAATCCTTTGGTCCCAATAGATATAAGTTGGTCATTTTCCATGAACAGTAAGTTTTGAATTGTTTCTTCTTCTGGAACATCAGGGGGATTTAGCCACTTCCCTTAAATTACAAAGTGAAACTTTCCTCACAAGAGTAAAAATATGATTATTGTTTTCTCTGTCTGATGTCAATAATTGTTCTCTCTCACCTACTTTAGTGGTAGGAGGAGATCCACCAAACTTGAATGTGATGTTGTCTTTGATGAGTAAAAGAATGGGGACATGAGATAGGTATAGAGAGCCACCCATGTTGGTCTAAATGAAGGAAGTTGATCAAAACTAGTCTATCTTCTCTATCATCATCATCTTTAGATAAATAATACTCCCTCCGTTTTCGAATAGTTGTCGTTTTAGAGCTTTTTTTTTTGTTTTAAATTAGTTGTCGTTTTAAGATAATAATGTAATTTATGCCAATAACTACCCAAATTACCTTCATTTTATTGAACACAAATTATTTGTAAATAATTACTTGTTATTTTTATGAGGTTAATATAGTCATTGTATACCTTTTCTTAATTTGTCCAAATACAGTTAAAACGACAACTTTTAAAAAACAGAGGGAGTATTGGATTTTGCAAATTTAGTCAAAACACTTGGGTCTAAATGCATGTGTATTATAAGAATATTTAACTTTACCTTTTAATAGAAAAGCAGCAACACCTTTTCATGTGATGTAATAAAAACACACCAGATGGATGTGTTGAGATATCATAAAGTACGTTACATCAAAAGATAGAAAAGAAGAATCTTCAATTTCTAGGTCTAATGAGTCATGACTCAAAGATCATATCCATATCTACCGTTTATTCTGTCTATTCGTTTGTCAACAGATAAGATCATTAAGTTTGTTCTATAAGACAGTTGTACAGTACAAAACTATCAAGTAAAACGTTTCTCATTAGACCTCAAAATATCTATTGGGTTGAGAGAGATTTTGAAGAAGATGGAACCAAAATTGTAAAAGAGATGTCGCTTTAAGAATGGTCCCCTCTCTTTCTCTCTTGTAAGATCTCAATGCTTTTTTCAAAAGATCTAGTTAAAAAAGTCACTTCCTTTTAGACTCTGGACAAGTCCATAAATACGTAGCATGAATACCAATTTGAAATGAGCAAAAAATTGCAAAAAAGAAACACAATAAAAGCGCAAAAGGTGATCATTTTCTCTTTAAAGGTGATTAACCAATTTAGATCATAGGATCAGTGTCAACCTCAGTAAACCATATGTATGAACTTTCATGAATCCAACAATGCAAAAATGTGAGACTTAAACCTCAAAACAACTCTAAAGCTCTATCTCACCAACATGTGAAGCATGAAGCAATTATAAACATGTGCAATCACATCAATCTCTTTGATATGAAGTAAACAAATCGTCTAATGGAGACAACATATGAACATACACATTGACAAGTTTCTGTGGCAAGGGATAAAGAAGTTCATCAATTGGGATAACAAATTAAAGAATGGTCTTTCTGAAGAAGAGAAATAAACACACTCAATCTATGAAACCGGTTCTTCTGAAAACAGCATTCCTTACCTGCCGGAGATCTCTCCCTTTAAGTGTCCTTCCTGCTCCTTCAAGCACTGAGCAAGATAACAACGACGACTGAGCCAAAGACCGAGCTACAATCTCGTGAGGAGGAAGCATTTCGCCTTCCTCTTCTTCCTCCTCATCATCATCCACCACATCAGTCAGCTTGAATTCCTTCTTATGACGATTCATCATCGTAGACGATACTAACGGCACTTGAACCGGAGCTGACTGAGGATACTTCCCACCACCTATAAAAGAAGCTGAAAACGGAAGCCTTTCTTGAGGCGGTTTAGGCGCGGTTGGGATAGCTCGAGCGGAAGACGAAGAAGCAGCTGATGCACCACCACCAGAAGAAGACGATGAAGAAGCTGTAGAGGAGACAGAAGTGGAGAGAGCAGCCGCAGGTTTGTGGTGAAAGACATGACTTAAGTAACTACTATTTCCAGAGGATTCAGGAAGAGCCGCGAGGATACCAGAAGCTTCCACGTTCTTCAAACCGCTTTTGCTCCTCTGAAGCTGGCGAGCAGGAGTTTGTTGCTTCGCCGGAGATGATACCGGAGAATGACGAGGCGGCGCGTGAGATATGTCGATTGCAAAGATGTCGTCTTCATTCAGCTCACCGTCTGCAGAGTCGGAGATGGTGGCTAACGACGACGGTGAAGAAAAATCGATTCGTGGATTTTTGTTCATTGTTGTTAAAAAAACTCTTGAGATCTGAGAATCAGAGAAACTGTGTTGAATTGATAAAGAAGAGTCTCCACCCACCAAAAAAGATTAGTTTTTTAACGACCTGAAAATTAAAGTGTAAGTTTTGAATTAGATCGATCCATTGTTGAGTTTCGAATTTTCGATTTCTGGGTCCAAAAAGAATGAGAAGGGTCGTTTTCAATCAAATCTTCCAAGAGATTTACTCAAAGAACTCAATCATAAGCACAATAAATTGAACACCTTCCATGTGAACAAGATAAATTAGGTCGTTTTGTTTTCCCAGAAATCTAAAATCAATGAAAATTGCAGCAAACACGAAGGTCGGATTCCAGTTAAAAGAAGATGAATTTAAGAAATTATCAAAGGAGAGATCCAGAATCGAAAAAAAGATTCGAAATTACCTCAATTCTGGGAAGAAAAACAAATAACAGCAGCAAATCAGGTGCACGAACCAGCTAAGCGCGATCTAAATGTTTTAGCAACAGAGAGAGGAAGAGAGAGAGAGAGAGACCAAGCAACAAGAAGACCTGAATGACACATTTTCTAGAATTTGGTATCCGTACAATACGTTGCCGTTTCGTAACATTGAAAGCCCAATAGAGTAGGCCCAAAAAGAGTTTGTTGTATACAAAACCAATTTTATAGAAGATAAAAACAAACGATTAAGAAACCAAACCAGACAATTTTTAGATGTAAACATGAACCGGGTTTTCTGTTGACGATTAATCAAAATTATCCGGAACCAGGCTTTTTCGAGTTTCCAACTTCCTTGGCGTTTGGAAAATCCGGTTTAGCAGAGGTCTTTATGATCACATTATTGGGTGATGATTTCTCCGGTTTTTTAGCTGGTTTGATCGGTTTATTACTGACGTAGCATTGAGCCCTAATCTCCCAAGGTCGAGCCGCAATCCACCGTTCTTTCCAACTCCATCCCCAGCTTTCTTTGCCAAGGTTAAACGAAGCTTGACCTAGATACTGTGTAGCATTAGCCCTCCACTACAAAATACATAAAAAAGGTTACTTGAGTCACAAGTTATCTAAAACACAAACCAACCGATATGCAAGTTTTAAGTTTTAAGTCTTAGTTTCAATGACCTGATGAGAGAAAGCATAAGCCATTGCTCTTTCACGCTTCACCGTAGCTTCTTCTCTCTGTTGTATCTTTGCTAGAATCTCTTCCATTGTTTCAGAACCTCCACACCATTCAACTTCTAGCTCGTGAAGCTTGATCTCCAGCTTCAAACGATTCTCTAATCTTTTGTGCTGGAGTCTACCTTGTGTCACCATATACAAACGTCTTGCCCTGACCTGACTCTGTATATCGCACCAAGAATGAATCACATTGAGTGCAGTCGAAGTTTGATTCTTCACTGTATGGCCTTGGATCAGCGCATTAAATCTCCTCGCGCTCTTCAAGCTGCATAGTCTTTTTCTGGCCTGCAGAAGATTCGCAACAACGTTAGGTAAAAATGGAGAGGTGAACCAGTTTTCAGATAGTGGAAAATGACCAACCTTGAATGCTCGAAAAGCCTTTTGAATGCGAATAACAGCGACTTCTGCGGTAAGCTTAGTGGAAGCAGAGCTTGATTCAACCGGTTTGACACGGTTTGATGTTTCAGAAAGTACCTAATAAAAACATCTTTGAAGTCATTTACGACCAGAAAGAAAAGAGAATAAAACAGAGTTTTTTTACTAACGTTGCCTCCATTTGATTTGTTCTTCTTTGTTCCGTTTAGACAGATGATAGAACGGAGCAGCCATCCAGATCCCATGACAGAAGATTATATATCTCAGTAATCAGTATAAAGGTAAGAGATTCCGAACAACAGAATGTTTTGTTGGAGAATATTATCACATAATTTGGCTGAGTATTTAACCAGATTATGTGAAAGAGAGATTAAAATGTGTTCTTTGTTTTAAGGCACAAGAAGGTTTAATGTTGAGTGGTTTTTAAGTAAATGAGAAAGAGAGTTGAAGCTTCGCTCTCTTTGTGGTGAATAAACCCATCTTGGTGATTGACATTTCAACCAATGGAGAAGGTGTTGTTTAATCTTTTTCGGCTGTTTGTGATATTTTTAATTAGTTTAGGCCAAAATTGTGGAGACTGATCAAAATAAAGGATGAGATTCACAAAATAAGTTGGTTTGGGATGAATTAATCAATTGTTTCAACATTGGTCCCGGCGGGGCTCGAACCCGCGACCTTCGGCTCATAAGACCAACGCTCTAACCAACTGAGCTACGGGACCTGTTTGATAAATTTATTCCATAATGTTATTTATCTGTCTTTATTCTCCACCTCTTTAGTTCTTAGCTTAGGACTCTGTGAGTGCATAAATGTATATCTTAGAAGTTAGAACCGATGACTTCTAGAAATTAAACACTCATTCCCAATATCTTTACTTTGAAGTTTTCTTTGTGTTTTACAGGAAAAAAAGAAAAAAAGAAGCTTTCTTTGTCTATATATTCTTATAAATGTGATGTTAGACTCTCAAAAATTAACCCTGAATTTACAATAAATTAGACTCTAAAAGGTTATCATAAAATCTACATTAGGTACTTGAGCTTTTTAGTTATGTTATATTGGCTTTAATTTTGGTTCATGTTACTTGTGTTTCACTAGTCATTGTCTCTAAATGCTGCCTTGGTTTCCTATATTTTCCCTCCAATCTAAACTAGCTAAACGTCTAAATACTGATCTAGGACTTCAATATTCTTCTCAAACACTGACCATCCACAAATCTTCTACCAACAATGGTTTCTCTTAACTCATCCTTCCCGAGCTACCAATTACTTCATCATTTGAACATGTGAAGATCTACCTAGTTACATGACACCTTTAGACTTTAAAGAAAATTCCACCTCAAAATCAGACAACCCACTTTATACTGCAATGCAATATACATGCAACCTTGATGACATCACTGGAACTTGTTTCCTCCCCTCTAGCTTATGTCTTTCAAGTCTTAGCTTCATCAATTCTGAGTTAAGATCCCTACTCACTGTCTCTTCGATTCAATCTTTATGATCTTGTGTACTAGATTATTCCCCATAACTTCTTACTTGATGCTCATATGTTAGTCTTAGACATATGTTCTTTAACATGTAGTCACTTGAATCAGTCTTTTAAGACTAGACTAAAACACTAAGACCACTTCTCTATTGGAGGCTTTCAATTGAGCCACTGAAATTGGAACTGGAACAACTTAATTTCAATCCAAATTCTTGAGAAAAAAATTGTGAGCAAAAGATTGTTTAAATTTTGATTTTTTTTTTGTACTGAACTTGGTAGATGTTGTGTAATAAAGTTGTTTTTTTTTACAGATGAACAGAGTAGATATTGTCAACGAGTATTCTAGGCTCACTCCAGTCTACGCGAGAGCTCGGACCTTGACAATGTGGGACATAGAAAATTGTGGGGTTCCACGTGACTGCAATCCCACCATGGTCGGTAATACAATCAAAGATGTATTGAGGATCAACGACACATGAGACCTATAAAGATTGTGGCAGTTGCTGCAAACTATGAATTCTTCCAAAAATTCAACAAGCATTGATTGACAATGGAGTAGAGTACCATTATCTCGACACTGAAGACAATCAAGGTAGTGACATGGACATTCTGAAGAGTTGGACCCGCACTAGTCACGCACCGGCGAATCTGCTGTTTATTAGTGGTGACCAGTGGCGGAAACATAATTTTTGTTTACAAGGATCATATATATACAATAATTTATATTTAATTATATATTAATATTAATTGATATATTTAAAGTGTACATTTTTTAAATGGTCTAGAGAACATTTTTCACCTAAAATATGGAGTATTTTGAAAAATGTATACTTTAAATACTTTAGAATATATATCGTTTATATTTTGAAACAGATGGAGTAATTTATAAGAGTAATGTAGTTTTTTTTTTGTGTATTTAAACATCGTAATGTATATTTTTAAAAAACAAAGTATCAAGTTGAAAAAACTCTTTATTTTTATTTTTCGATAGGCGAAAACAAAATATAACCTTAAGTAAAGCTTAACTATGATGAACAATAAATATAACTTGTTTTACTAGTTAAATTTAGTAAGAAGAGTTTGCGATTTGAATTTTTTTTAGCTGAAAATGTTTTTATGAAAAGTTTTCTCTTATTTTGTAAAAATAATTTGACCCGGTGATAATCGGATTTGAATCCGACCCGTTAGAAGATGTGCGTAAATTTCATCCATTTGCGTGTCTCAAAATTTAAATCTCTCTCTCTTTCTTGTGCGGCGTTTCTGCTTCTCCGTTTGTCCGTACGCGTTTTCTTACCGGTGACCTGAAACTCTCCGATTCTCGAACGAGCAGCTGCTTCTCTGATAATGGCGGCGTATAGAGCTGACGATGATTACGATTTCCTGTACAAGGTGGTATTAATTGGTGATTCCGGCGTCGGTAAATCCAATCTGCTTTCTCGATTCACGCGCAACGAGTTCAGCCTCGAGTCTAAATCCACCATCGGTGTCGAATTCGCCACCCGAAGCATTCATGTCGATGAAAAAATCGTCAAGGCTCAGATTTGGGACACCGCCGGTCAAGAGAGGTATTTTACATTTTACATACAATTTCCCTAAAAGTGAATGATTCTATCGATGATTTTACCCTAATCGACATTTTTGTCGATGAATCTGAGTAAAGGAATTGATAGGAAAGGTTTGATCATGTGTAAAATTGTAGAAATGGGTGTGGAATCTCCAGAACTAAAGAATTGATTTTGTGTTGGAACTTAGATACCGAGCAATCACAAGCGCTTACTATCGAGGAGCTGTAGGAGCTTTGCTTGTTTATGATGTTACTCGGCATGTGACATTTGAGAACGTTGAGAGATGGTTGAAGGAGCTCAGAGATCACACAGAGGCCAACATTGTGATCATGCTTGTTGGGAATAAGGCGGATCTACGTCACCTAAGAGCTGTTTCAACCGAAGATGCTAAAGCCTTTGCAGAGAGAGAGAACACATTCTTCATGGAGACATCTGCACTCGAAGCATTGAACGTTGAGAATGCTTTCACTGAAGTGCTTTCTCAAATATACCGTGTGGCAAGCAAGAAGGCCTTGGATATTGGTGATGATCCGGCTACCCTTCCTAAAGGCCAGAGTATTAATGTCGGGTCTAAGGATGATGTTTCTGAGGTTAAGAAGGTTGGTTGCTGCTCAAGTTGATCTTGATCAAGCCATTTTGTCTGGTAACGTTTCTTTCTTAGGTAAGAATATAGTTTGGTTATCTATGGAAGATCGCAGATGATTCTTCTGTGTGTTTTTCCTTTAGTTGCTTCTTTTTCCTTCTTTTGGTGTAAGTTTCTCATATCCTTATAATGTTTTAACTATTTTTACATAAGCATTCATATTCGATAATCTTTGAACCAAAAAAAAGATGTTTTTGATGAAGAAAGTTAACTCTAGGAGCAACCTAAATGTACAAAAAACCTAAAAAGTCTGTACAGTTTTTATAGTCATTAAGCCAATCTTAGCTTTAGACTGTCACTTTTATGTGCACAAAAGTACAAATTTACAGAATTTGAGGCTGAAACATACCCTGACTCTGTTTCTCTCTTATAAAACCAATAGATAAAAAGCATCTTAAAAACCATCAGCGATAACCTTCTCTTAGGCTGAATACGCAGTAACCTTTTCTCCTCTACTACTTAACCGTAGCTTCTTCTTCTTCTCCATGACCAGTGCCTCTGATTTACAGATTGGGCAAACGTTCTTGATAACCAACCACTTCTCCAAGCATTCTGCATGGTATTTGTGCATGCAATCCAGCGTTGCGATCTTATCTTGGTTCTTGTAGTTTTCCTGTCAATTCCCCATTGCAAAAAAACAAAGATTTAAATACTAAGATGTGATGTGAGTGTGTGAATGTTTGCATAAGCTTGGAGGATGCAGTCTCAAGATTTTACTGGCTTTACCTGGCATATCGTGCAAGAATCAGTTTCTTGATCGGTAGAAGGACCTTCTTCCAGGTTGATTCTGGTCGTTAACGAGGTTCTTTTTTTCAGAAGATCTTTAACATCTTCTTCTGACAAGCCAGTCTTCACAGTTCCAATCTGGTCGCTCAAAGCAAGAAGTTCCTGCAACACCCAGGTTTTGAATGTTATAAGATAAGACAAACCAATGTGAATTCATTAATTACCTACATGGTGAAGAGTCAAGAGGAATTTTGGTCTAGGGACTAACCTCATATGACATATCCTCTATATCTAAGCGCATGTCTTGATGATGATCGACATAATTAACAGCATCGTAGAAGTCTCCTACCTCCCAAAGTGCAACTTCCTACACATATTAACAGAAAGAGTAAAAAGGCCATTATTGGAAAGTGAACTCTCTTTTGAACAAACTGACACTATAAGATGAAAAATGTGCTCAGTACATTCGCGGGCATTGCTCTAAGGTGATTCAATTCACGGTGTCTTAGAATTGCTGCAGGTACAAAATCTTCTCCGGGATATTGGTTTACCCTGAACCCGGTTGATTGAACCTGTCCCACATGACTGTATGAAGCAGGATGCAGAGTCTCAGCGTATGAGGCTGAAGGCATGTGAGGGTATACGATGGGAGGAGGAGGTACTGGGTGATGGCTCATATAGTGGTTCCTTTGGTATCCAGATGGTGTGGGGTTTCTGCTACTAGATGTTTCATGGTATCTTGGGAAGCAGACATTACCAGAGTCTATATATCCAGTAGCAACGTTACCTAAGAGATCATTCAAGAAGAAGAATAAAATTATCATGAACTTGCCAAAAGACCAATCGCAATGCTGAGAATAAGGATAGTACCAGGCATATAAGGTACAGCGGGTGCTTGAAACCAAAGCGAAGATGATCCATCAGATCTGTTGCCATTACACTGTTGGTCATACCAGATCGAGCCAGGAGGTGGAAAAGGATGAGCTGCATAGTTTCCTTGAGCTGCATAGTTTCCATGACTGAAGTTGTTAT